AGGACATAGAAAAAATACTGCTGCCTTTGGTAGGCACTGTGGAAAAGCAATTTGCTGCATCTTTAGGACTGCTAGGACAGCTTTGGTGGGTAGAGGATATAAACAGCCTTATTAGAACTACAATAAACAGTCCACTCTAGTGGTTTCATTTTGTGTCACAGCAGGAAAAGGGTATACAATACAAAGGCATATAATCTGTTTCTTCTGTTGGTGTCTGTTAATGTTAAATAAAACTGGTCAGCTTAGATCCTCAATTCATTGAATTAAATGGCTATATCATTTTAAACTAGCTGAGAAGTTGGCCAGGTATTTTGAAACAGGGAGACACTACAAAAGGGCTGAAGATAGCAAAATGATCTGTGGAGAGGTCTTATCCTAATTAATCTTGAAAGCACTCTCGTTCTTTGAACAACAAGGAAAAGGTGGCTTTGATAGGATACAGCTTTTGGTTCTGGACCACTTCCTTATTATAAATAATAGTGTTTTGTGAAGGAAAAGCTTGAATCAACTGCTTTAATGCTATGACTGGTATGTCTGTTGCATTTATATAATTCCTGCTTCCCACTTTATTTAGACAAAATACAATATTTGAAATAGTAAATCCCTTTCTCTCCACTTTTCTTTCCCTGCATGATCTTTTGAAACCCCATTGATTTACGGATCAGTCTGTTCCTAGTCAGTGTGATCTTACACTTACTATCAGCAATGGTTGCAACCATTAATTTCGCCCCAGGAGAGTCTGATAGCTTCCTCACCTGGGGAGCCCAGTTGGAATTCAAATGCTCCTCTTTATTTTTTTCATAAATATTTTATTCACAAGATGAAGAGGCTTCCTCTTTTGTTTTTTTGTTTTTTTTCTTTTTACAGGAAACTGTGAACCTGATTCTCTGACATTTTGTGTTTATATTATCTTTTGTTGCTTATTCTCAAGTGTTATTTGAGCTCAAATAAGAAATGCACTCAGGAGTACATTAGTATTAGTGTGCATTATGCCAACAGATACAGGAGAGATCATATACCATTAACTACTGGTATATTATTTTGAAAGCTTGCTTTATTAAGAATTGCAATATCTAAAATGTTAGGAAGTGCTTTCTCTCCATTATACATGAAGAAATGGCTGAACTCAATAGGCATAAGACAAAATAAATGTATTCATATTATCTTAGGCCCAAGTAGCCATTGGGCTCAATCACAAAGTTGGATATAATTAGCCATTTCTCTTGGGCATACCTAAAATAACAGCTGCGTTAGAAAGGATAGTGGGTAAAGGGAACTTGTTCAGCATCTTCCCACACTGGGAGTATTTTTAGTCAATGTGATCAGTCCCTTAGAATATTAAAAAAAGATGTTAAAAATCAGCCCATTTTTAATTAAGAATATGAATAAGAAGGCCTGATCCTTCATACATTTACATACATAGGAAGTCTTTATTCTTCAGGTAGTGCCCTTGACACTAATTGGACTACACAAGTAAGTGAAGACTAGTCACATGAATAAAGACTAGCAGAACTCTTTGTTCAGGGATCTCCCACTGCCTGTGTGACTAGCAGGACTTCCATGTTCAGAGGGCTTGCAGTTAGTCTGAAAAACTTTTCCTAGGCTTTTCAATACCAAGTTACTTATACTGGGGGAGGGACCACTCCCCTGGGGGTAATCACACTCAGCTGTGAGGTATCACCACCAACAACAACTGGAGGAGGACTTTTAACTGCATTCCATCTAGTCAGGATTGTACGTGTTTTTACTGCTATGTAGAAATGAACACATGGATCTATTTATTAGATCTACATTTCAGCTTAATTGCTATTTAAGACATTAGGACAAACAAAACTAAAGGCTTATTCCTCTCAGCTAGTCTTGTTCCTCTAAAAATAACTTCACATAACTTTGCCAGTAGATGGCACTAAATGTATCTCATAGTAACAGAATGCTCAATGTTTATTCCTCACAAAGAAGGGGTAATTTTTACTGCATATGCAGTTTTTCTTGCTTGCCATGTATGAATAATGACACTAGATAGGAGTAGTTTAGGTTCTCTGGATTAAGGAATTAGTCTTGATGAAGCTAGTTTGAGATGTGTACTTCTGCCCTGTAGAAATTGGGCTGAGACTGACAATTTGCTTTGTAAAGATCACTTGTGAGAGCTGCCAGATTGTAATTTTCTGTTGCTATTGATTTGAGTAGATTAAGTGAAAAGTTGAATTCCACCGCTGGCCCCTTAGCTGGCCAATCACATCACTAGCAGACATAGAAACTTGTTAATTCAGGTTTCACCTGTAACAGGGATGTCTGATTCACCAGAGTTAGCTTGGTTTTCCTATTATAAAAGCTTTTGATCCCTAACTCTTATCTTGGCAATAGAGCTAAGTGAAATGTTGTCAGCGAGTTGTTTGTTCACTGAATATGCTTTTTTTGGGCAGCTGACATTTTTCACTGATTTGGGCCAATTTTGACAAATCACTTCAGTCAAAGGCAAAAAAAAATCAGAAGCATTGAAATAGCTTGTTTCAGTTTAAATAATCTGTTTGGAAAGTGTCAAAATGGATGGTTTCTGCTTATCTGAAACATTTTTTTTTCTGGCACTTATACAAAAAGGCCATGGGGAGAAGGAAGCCACTAATCCTGTGCTTGGAGCATTCCCTCTGGGAACAAGGGATATGGGTTCACTTCCCTACTCTGCTTGAAAAGATCTGAACCCACTTTCCAACCTCGTAGGGAATGTCATACTTACCAGGTGGGGTGAGCTATTGTTGGTCTCTCCTATTAATGCTGCTTTACCTTATATAAAATATACAAATTATTTATTGGAACAGGGACTGAAACTTGCGAGTGACTGTCCCTACTACCAGGCTACAGAATCATTCTCTTTCTCTCTCACACAATCTGAATTTTATGTACTTTATACAAGGGGGTGCTGCCAGCACCCCCTCCTCCTCTTCCTTTCTGTGTATTTTGTGAATCTAGCCCATTCTTTCTTTACCTATTATTACAAATGCCTCACAACAATATTTTGGAAATGTTGAAGTTTGTTTTGACATTTTCAAAGTCGTTAAATCAACCTGAAACAATTCTTCAGTTTTTCATTTTGATGTTGAAAATTATATATATAACATTTTTTTCTGGTTGATTTGATTCAAAGTTTTGTATTGCTATGTTTCTTTTAGCCACTGCACTGAAAATCACTTATTCACACTCCCCAACTAGGCAGGCCTGATGGAAAGTTTTTTAGCAAAGCATATCTCTAGCATGTCTCATATAGAAACACTGTAAAGGATCTGCAGACCTCATGGTCATCAACTAAACTGTTCCACATGAAACATCAGCAATGAAACTGAGGAACTTTACAGTCCAAAACAGAGACAACTATTGCTTGAGCTAAAGGAGAACTCTGTTAGTTGTAGTATTCTGAGGGCCTCAGTCCTTCGTTAGCCAACCAGGATGTGGTAAGGATTCATAAATACAAATACAGTATCAGAGCTGATCTGTTTAGCAGTGACAGCGGTACAGCTTCACACTATCCCCTACATTAGGCAGTCTTACTCAGTATTGCTGTGTTATACTTCATCCTTGAATACCTGAAGTTCACAGGAACAGAGAACCAACTGGTGTATCAGATAATGACAGATTATTTTGAACACTGTCCTCAATCTGGTGAATTTGAAACTCAAGGACAAACTTTGTCTAAGTGGGAGGAGTATAGCATACTAAGGAGGGTATATGAGCATCTCTCTTGTAGCCATGAACAAAATGGAATGTCAAACCTGCTTAAGCATAAATAATTGGCATCCGCTCTTGGACCCAACCTACAGAAAGTATGTAAGTCATGTATGGTTAAGAAAGAGATTGTGGTACCTTTATTGTTTTTATCAGCAGATCCAGAGTTTTGTCCCCAGTACCACAAATTCTGTGCCAAGCTAAATTCATTACTTATATGCCTTATGTGAAAATGATGTACATAGGAACAAGTTATTTTTCCCTTTAATTTTGCCTGGACACAATGAATTTGTGCAAAGCAGTAAAGAGCATACAAAACCCAATACAAGCATCTGCTGATTTGTATGTGAAGTTCCAATAGGTCCTTTGGTTGAAAATATAGAAGAAAAGTATTAAAAATAGCATACTGAAACAAAATTAAGAAATGAAGTTCTTTGATTTAAGCTACATGTATCTCCAGCAGCAAACTTCCTAATTGCCTTTTGTCTTCTAATTCTAGAGTCCATCTGTGCAGCATAAAGACATGTCTAAATTGCAGAGAGAGAGGGGCAGATGCCAAGAAACCCCAAAAGCACAAATGAGGATAAAAAATGAAGAAAAGCCAAGGTACAGAGGGGTCCAGTGATAAAGTCATATGGAGTTTAAGTATTACTTGGAATATGCTAATAGAGATACTGGCAAGGAGTTTCCTAACACACTAGGAGCTGGTGGTCAGCTAATATCATTCAGAACTTGGAAAAGGGGAATGGGCTGAACTTATGGAGAAGGATAAGGGTATATTTAGTACTAGAAGAAGTGCCACAGAGTGTCTTGGAATGGAAAGATACCACCTTAACCCCCAGAGAGAAGGCAGGGCAGATGGTACCTTATAGAGACTAGCATCCGAGGAAGCAGGCTGTCTGTAGTCACTGAAAGCTAATGCACCCCTAATGAAAGTTTATGCACTTTTGAACCATTTAGTTTCTAAGGGTGCCTGTAAACATGCAATGAGGCTGCTCCGATTTGCTGTAATTACAGCGTGTCAGTGTGCTAATTAGCATGCCTCCAGCAGTCTTTGTGTGTTGTGTATCAGTTTCCCCTCACTTCAGAATGGCAGTGTGTTCAATGAGCTTTAGTTAAAGACCCCTCGCCGCCATTTTGAAGTGCAGGGAGGCTGATACACAAGATTCTGCGGGCACTTTAGTCAGAGTGGCTCTTGGAGGCAGGCTGGCACCTTAGGATGTTTTTACGCATGTTCCGAGGATGGGCAGGAGCACTTTAATTAGAGCGGCTCCAAGAGCCGCTCTGATTAAAACAGCTCTTGGACCTGCTCTAATTAAAGCACCCCTGCCCATCTTTGGAGCACATATAAAAACATCCTGTGGTACCACCCTGCCCTGCCTTCTGTCTGATGGCAGACCAATACAGCTAACTACCTCTCTACTCCTGAGAGAAGAAAGAGAGACTGCTCAGCCCCTGAAGGAGCAGTCAGGATGTTTGGCCCTTTGGCAAAGGACTAAACAGTCAGATTGAGGGGGAACATTCACCCCTGTGAAAATGTGTGCCTGGAATGTGCGGACTGAGATTTTGCACATCACACTTTGCTGGTTCTTTTTGTCCAGTGCCCATATGAAGGAGTGTCAGAAGTAGAAAGTGGACTCTGAGCAGCTCATTGTGTTTCTCCAGTTGAGAGATTGGTTTTGTAGATGTGCAGATCTCTCCCTTGTACTGTTTTGGCTCTTTTTCCTTCAGGCTGGAAAGTACAAGTGTATCAAAAAAGGAAGATAGACAATCTGCTTCTGTTCCTTTACAAAAAGAAAAGACAAAGCATGTCAAGGCTTTGCAGGAGGAATGGCACAACCACAAGGCAGACTTAGAGTCTCAGGTATGGCATCAAACCTTTCTTGACATTGCAGGCTGTGTGCTCTCATGAGGCACCTGCAACAGCGAATGTTGGTACGCTAGTTTGTAGGAACAGTCTGATATTGGTTGTATGGAAAAATTAGCAGGCAAAAAGAAAATGGCTCCATTTCCTCCTCTTGACCCTAAAGGGAGTACTAAGTGAGTCTTATCGCTGAGACTTATCTTCCTTTTTGTTTGTCTGGGTGAGAGAAGAAAAGCACAAAACATAGCATTGTGGGGTATGATGCCCAGAACTCCCAGTATTATTAATTAGAGTTATTCATCAAACTCTTTCTCTTCCATTTTGTAAATGGACCCTTTGGGTCTTGACACACATAACATTGAACCATTCCAGAATGTCACTGATTGGGAACCAGTTTGCAATTGTGAGACGTGCCCAACAACAGAGTGGGGAGGGAATGAGTGCCCAGCCCAGCATGCTCACAGTGGGTGAGTGGGGAAGGAGTGCTTGCATGCACTTGGGGATCCCAGGGGGTAGGGTAACCTGTGCCTGAGGTCATTCTCATTTTTCTGCTTTCCCTTGTTTCCTAAATGTGAGTTCAGTAATCTTCAATAGCTTGCAGATAACTGAAGTCTGCAGTGTGCTTGCCTGACTTGGGGGTTAGGGGAGAAGTGTTTGGTTTCTGGGGGGTAGGAACCACAATAAGGGGGCACAGTTAAGTTGGGAGTAAGGACCCAGATGGCTGTGAGAAAGATAGCTTTTATTGAACAATCGGTGCAAAGGAGTTCATTGATTAAGAAATGGCAACAAAAGGGGAAAAAGGGGAGGTAGCAGAGTGCTGGGTACATACCAGAGCAGCCAGTTGCAGTAGTGTGTATATATCTGGAGGGGAGGGGAGAAGCAATGCAGTGTGGGATGCCTGGAGGACTGATCGGACCCTTGGCACAGAACACTTGGTGTCCTCATGTACCACTGAACTAGTTCGTAGTGAATTAGTTCAAAACAGTACTTCATGATTTTCAAGTACAAACCATTCAAAGTGGATTTAAACCAGTTTAACAGGCTTATACATCTGTCTGCTTCAGGTTTAAACTGCATTTAACCAGTGTGTGTGTCTGTCCTTTAACGTCACAACTCAAATACCACAGTATCCATTGTTTCAAACCTGCTCTCTGACTTGTGCTCTACATTACCATATAGCCAGAAAAATAGGCTTCAGACCTAAGCAGGAAGTGATTTGGAAAGATAGCATATTTTATGTCTGTTTTTTTAATGAATTACTTGATGAGATGTAGCTGCTAGACAGTATATGTAAAAAGGGAAAACTGTGTTTCTGGGAGGGCATTTGCATCCCTATCAAAGTGCAAAGAACTGATCAATTTTACTCCAGTTGAACACTTTTCTCCTCAGATAATTAATTATGTAGCAGCAGCCATTCATCCAGCTGATGTCAACTTTAAAGCTAGGTAAACTGGAAAGGTCATCTTTAGAGCTGTACAAATAATGGATTTTTAAAAATCAAACCAAAACATTAGAAAAAATTCTCTGGTTGATCCTAACCAAAACAAGAGAAATGTTTCATTTTTGGTGATTATGTTAACCATTTTAAAAATTAAATTAAATTATATTTTAAATGAAACTATTTGAAATCAAATAGTGAAATATTTCAATTCAAAGTATTTAAGTGAACCATTTTGACTTGACTGTTTCCCATTTTTACCTGAATTCATCCTGATTTCATTAATAGTTTTAGTTGACCTGAAATGGCATTTTTTTGGCAAATAAATCATTTATTTGTCTGAAGAATTCTGCCCAGTTCCAGTCATCATTGAAAGAAAGAGCAGCTGTTCTGCAGGGATGATTTTTCATGAAGCGTCATATATTTCAGAAAATGCAGTAACATTTAAATGACATTTTTCTAAAAGAGTCTTTTTGATGCTCAGCAGCAAGCCATGGTAGTTAGGCACATCCTAATAAGCTTCTGTTCTTGAAGGTTGCTCAGCTGAAACAAGCATTAGACCAACAGGCACATAACTTCAAAGATGCTCTGCAGAAGCACAATTTACAGTCCAACAAAGAAAAAGAGAAGCTTTTACAGGATCTTCAAGACATCATTAAACAAAGTCAGAACGTTAAAGTGCAACTGGAGGCATCAAATCAGAGAGCCTTAAAAAAGCTAGAAAAAAACAAGAATCAGGAACTCAAGGTAGGCTTTTATTGGTGAGTCCCCCCACTCCCTTATTTGTTTCAGACTTAAATACAATGACATCATAGAATATTTTTAAAATATTTACCTGAGTTTGGCTTAAAAAATAAGAGTACATTTCAAAATTCATTTTTTTAAATATATATTTTAGTCAGACTCTGTCTTATGCTTGTTCTCGCATTGTTCATTTGTATACAGGATAAGATAGATCAAGCATAATAGACTGCTACAATATGTTTAGGTTAAAGCAGGGCTGCCCACTTCAGCACATCCAGGGACTACACATTGGTATGTAGCCCCTGGGCCACACATCACATTGGCCATAGACTGCGTGATGGCCCCAAGATTCCCCTCTGCCCCCTACCGTATGGGCAACAGAGGCAGCATACAGCTCCCAGGCCTTTACTATGCGGGTACCAACAGTGGCCTGCAACCTCCCTCCCCAAACTCTCTCCTACTATACAGCAGTCAAAGACACAGCTGCAGAGGCCTACAGGCAGCCAGTTGAACAGCCCTGGGTTAAAGAATATTTGTGAGAAATAATTTTGTTAGTGATTAGCTGAAAAAAATGATAATGTGATAAATTGAGATTCTTACTATGTATTGTTTTAAAGGAAGTTACTGTTAAAAAAAAACAAAATTGAAAAACATACATGTGATTGTAACTGTGAATTCAAATGTCCAAGTCTATGTCCATATTGAATATGAAACACGAATAAAGTAAATGATCTTTATCAGTGTATATGATACAACAATCCTAGAAGGAATTTAACTCAGAACACTTGTTTATAAATTCAGAACCACAGTTTGCATGTGTCTACCATTGTGAAACCACACTGAAGTCAGTGAGACTGCACAGTTGTTATCCATCTTTTGCCCTTCAGAGCATCTATATCAAATACAGCCATGCCCTGTTGTGTACATTTTGTCAAGATTTCAGTTGACAACAGGAGCATTGTCCAAGTACAGACCAAGTAAGAACTGCAGGATTTGTTTAATATGTACTAATAGCCAATGACAGGCTGGATTCAAATTCCATTAAAATGAATAGGAGTCTTTCCCCTGATTTTCACGAGTCTGTGTAGGTAAAATCTGAGGCTTTATTACAAGCTGATCAAGGATTATCCTTCTAATACCAATAGTACACAAATCTCACATTTTGACAGTTTATATGCTAAAAACCTCAAATTCTGTGATAAGATGTCTGGAAGACTTCCCCTTTGCTTCTTGGTTGTATTTATCTTATGCTGTTCTTGTATTAATGAAATATAAATATGGAATGTATTGTACATCTGAAGGTCCTAGTTCACTCTGACATTAAAAGGGAAATAAATTGTGAATTTGTTCTTCCACCGATGTTTCTTGCCTGAAGGAAATAGAAGAACGTTTGAAAAGGGAATATAATAACAGTATCAAGATCCACGACCAGTCTCACAGGCTGGAAATACAGGCTTTGGAAGAGAAGACAAAGAATGAATTACAGGGAGAATTGGAGAAGATACAGAAACAACAAACTCAGTTGCTAGGTATAACAACTTGCATTATACACAGAACTTACTGTTTGATTATGATTTGAGAAATACCAGTTGTTTTTCAGTGGCCTGTTTGAAAAAGCTGCTGGATTTTATTGCTGGAACTCAGGTCCCCTCTACACATTGTAGACATTGTGCAATTAACTGGTTAATTGCACAATTATGTGCAGACCAGCTACATGTGCAAAGGAGCTATCACACAATAAAAAGGTCCAACCAGTTATAAAATTAGATCTTGAAAATACAAACTAACTATATAGCTGGTTGGTACTGAGCTTTAATTTGTATGTGTAGCAGGATCTGCCCTGTGACGGGGCCCCCATCCACAGGGGTGCACCATACCCAATGTAAAACCCTTGAGCCCTAGGAAATCATGGTAGCTGTGATCCCCAGGGTCCAGGGGTTTCCCACACCCCCATGCCATGAAGGTCATGACAGCTGTGATCCCTAGGGCTCAGGAGTGCAGGAAACCCCAAGGGCCAGAGGATTGCTGTGATCCTTTGGCCCTAGGGGTTTCCCCACACCCCCAGGCAAGGGAGATCACCCCTGCAGTGGCCCTTTGGTGCTGAAGGTTTCCCACGCCTCTGGGGCAAGGAGATCACCACAGTGCCAATCCTCCAACCCTGGGAGGGTAGAAGGCACCCCTGTGGCTGGGAGCTCCTCAACTGGGGTGTGTTTGGCTCTTAGCCCTGAGAACTTGCTGGTGCTCCCCCTCTACTGGCAGGCTCCCCCTGTACTGGCAATAAGGTGCAATGGGATGTAATGTGCAATTGTGTTAATTGAGTGTGACAGGCTCACAACCACTGAATCAGTCGATGGGCATGTCTGCCACCTTGGCTATGTCAAGCTGAGACTACTCGCCCACCATGACTTGTACAGTGAAGTGTACCTTGAAGTGATGTTCCGTAGTTCTTCTGTGCCTGGGTGACTGCTGATGTGTTTTCTGTGGGGTTTCTCCTCCCCTACACCCCACCTCTTTCCACTCAGGTGTTCAGATCAGCTTGGCTGATGTGGCGACAGGGTCCTTCCTTCCTGTGCTGAGGCCCAGCACCAGGGATGGCTGAAGGAGGTCTAGCAATGACCCTGCAGAGTTTGTAAAACTTACAACAAATCAAGAAATCAACCTAAAACAACTCAGGTGTGGCGCTTGGCAGGGCAACGATGATCCCACGCCGAGCACTTTTACAGCATGTGGGGTTGGGCAGTGCCCCATGCATGCATCTCCCACAGGTGATCCACTCAGGAATGCCCTTCTTCTGAGCCTGCTTCTGGTACCAGACTATAGTGTCACTGGGCACATCCCTTTGTGCCCACCATCTGCTCGCAACTCTGCGAGTCCCCTGCTGGGGCCCTCTGGATCTATACACACTTGGGAGGGTGCATGCAGTTAACAGGGTCCTGTGCTGGCTTCTCCCTGTCAGAGGCTTCGGCCATGCCCACTGTGCTGCCCTCTCCCAGCCCCTGCTGACCTGCATGCTCTGGTGATGACTCCCACAGGTGCTGTGCAGTATTATGGGGTCACCACCACCCGACTCACTGGATGCAGCTATCCAGCTGGTATCAAGGTCAATGTCTAGGTCTACCTGGGTTTCACCCCCTTTTTCAGGGATTTTGGCCCTGGGGAGAGTTACCAGTTCCCTACTGGTAGAGGGATTGGCCTCCAGGTGCTCTGTTGGCACCCTGTTGGTGCCTTGAGCCTGTGCTGTTCCTTCTGGCTTTTCAGACTGGGCTGGTAGTGCTGCATCACTTCCAGCTGTGGCGAGAGGTTCCGACTTCGTCACCAGTTTTTCCCTCTCTCTAACCCCTGGGTTCCACTTCTCAGCATCCTTTAAGCCCAGAGCCTTTGGGTGCCGGACCAACCGGCAGCATACCTTCTGGCCACAGGGTGCCAACCAGCTTGCCCCCAGCTCAGCTATGAGGATGACTGTGCAGCGGTAAGTGGGTTGAGGGCCTGTCACATTGCACAGTAGATCCCAGTGCACCTTTAGCTTCATGTGTAAAGAGAGCCTTAGAGATTTCCCATGTTGTGTTTACATTAAGAAAGATCAGCTTTGTGTCAAGTGTATCCGTTTGGCAATATTAATTAATTGCTCCCTTAAACCGATTTACAAGAATCTGTTAAAACTAAAGATCTCCAAAAGGCTCAAGTCCAGATAACACATTTCATGCTGGCATATGTAGTCTATCTGCAACACCTCAAGACAAAGGGACTTAACTTGGCTCTACTTTCTGAAAATTAGGTCATAGCCATCAGACTCCTGGCAGGCTGTCAGAGCAGCCCACCTTTCAGAAAATCTTGGATGCTCTGATTTACATTTTAGACTTTTTTGTAATGATTTTAATCTCAACCAGTTCTAACTGGTGTGATTTACATGGTGCTGTGGCACAGAAGTGTGGGGTTATTTCCCCCTCTGTCTGACCAGGAAGTGGAATACCAAGGCCAAAATATATAGACTCAGAAAATATAATTACATAGTTTAGATGAACGCTTCCTATATTTCAAGGGTATAGTCATTGATTTGTTTTGGTATAGTATACCCAGAGGTATCTCTTACTGTTCCTCTTGATATCAAGTAGAACAAAGAACAGGCCTGATTCTGCCCACTAATAAGTGCCTTTGGTTTGTGAAAAAACTAGAACTCTTGGTTCCAAAATGAATTGAGTCAGCTGGCCAGGTGTCAAGGAGTTTAACAATATTTACTATTTAAGTTTGTGGGGAGGATTCTGTGCTTTGCCTCCTGATAAGAATTTTTGTGACATTCAGAGAGATAGGCATGTTACCTCATGTTCTGCTACCAGTACACCTCCTATGGGACGGTACGCAAGAGAATTTGTATAGGGCTGTTTGAAACAGCTGTTTGGATCCTTTACACTTTTTTGTGCACCTCCAGTTCCCCAACTGATTTTACAGACAGAAGAGACCACTGTGTGTGTCTAGTCTGACTTTTTGCATTACAAAGGCCATAGGATTTCACCATTTAATCCTCATATCCAGTCCTTGTTGCTTTACTACTGGCAGTAGAGTTTTATAGAATATGTGGGGTATTTCCCTCTTTTCCTTTTGATTTAGTGGACTAAATTATTGCAAAATTGAGCATCAAGGAAAAAATTGGTACTTTATTGTCTCCCTGCTCCTGGGGATTTATTGTTTTTTCCTTGCCTGTTACCTTCTTCACTCCTTGATATGTGGTTTTGTTGTGGCTAGAATCTCTGAGGATGGATCTTTCTGAGCAACAGGAGTCCTGTGCCAGTCACAGAAAACAAATAGAAGACCTACAGATGGAGCTGAAGAATGTATGGTCCCTAAAGCAGCAGCAGGCAAGCTTCCTAGTCTTACTTTGTTAACATTCAGTAGTACTACTAGATGGTAAAAATTCTGGTTTAGCTTTTACATGAGGTGCTCCCTGTATAGAAGCAGAAGGGGTTTCCTTCCTTATAACCAAGGACCTGTGTGGCTGTGCTTTTATATTCTATGGAAAACTTGTAATCAGGGGCTGTCTTCTAGTCAGGGTTTGATATTGTAGAGAGCTCCATATTGTTGAAGTGCTTTTTCCTTATTCCTTCTTGTGTACAGTGGGTCTAAAGTGTTCAAATTTGGGTACCTAAAAATAGGTACCTAAAATAGCAGAAGTTGAGCACTCAAGAGCCCCACTCATTTCAATTAGAGATGCTGGGCATCAACATCTCTAAAAATCAGGCTAGATACTGTTCGTCATTGGTGGGTGCCTAAACATGGATCAAGTACCTAACTTCGAGTATGGAAGTTTGAAAATGTTGGCCTCTGTGTACATGTAGATATGCATGTGTATGTAAATGCACTATGTGGCCTGCATGGGTGTGTGCACATGCATGTGCATATATGCTTTGGAACCCAAATACTTGATAAGAAGTTATAACATCTCATTCCAAGTTATAACAACTCGTTCCCAGTTTTGTTCTGTTGTTTGCATTCATACAGTGCAGGTTTCCTGCACTAAACAAAACTTAGTCACTGCACTTTTTTCACTGGAAATATTTCCAATATCTTTCTGAATTTTTTTGGTTGATTTGGCTCTTGTCTCTGGTGGGCTTATTTTATTTCTGTTATTTAGGTAGGAACAGAGAAAAGTTTCAGATATGAAAATTATGTTAATAACATCTATGTGTTACATTATAATCTTTGTACTTCTTGTTTATCATCATTAGGTTGTCCATCACAGTAACCAATCCCAATCCTGTGATAACTGCAAGTGGAAAAAAAAATAAGCAGTTTTTTTCCAATTAAAATGACATAAACATAGTCAAGTTGACATGAGGCCATGAAGGAATTTTATTATAGGTGTCATGATTTTTTTTCACCTTCCTCAGAAGCATTGGGTTTTGCCTAGAGCCAAAGCTGGAGAATTTGACTGGAGTGTGCTGATACTTGTGCTGTAACTAGAACTTGAAGTTTCCTGGCTAGAGTGTCTTGCTCCTTTATTCATAGTCAGACAAATTGCCACATTTGGGATCAGGAAATATTTTTACCCTGTGATCAGACTGTATTGCTTTCCTCTGTAGTGGAGGAAGATGGTTCTGTTCCTTGAGTCTTTCAAGTCTATCTTAACAAACTACTCCCTGCCCCTGCAGCAGTAGGACATTGACAGTGCTGTCATCCCCCAGTTTTACCTGTAGCAAGTTAGTATGTTCTTGTTATTTTAGAGCATTTTGTCTAGTAGTTGTGGGAGAGGGTTACTTGTACAGTTTTATGAGTATGTTAGCAAATGCTTGCATAGGACGGTTTAAATAGGGTTGAATCTGTCAGCACGGGGTTGAACTAGATGACCTCCTGAAGTACCTTCCAGCCCTACTCTTCTATGATTCTATGAGAATCTTTGTCATGTTTGTTGAATTGTTTCTGCTGAAAAATGTAGGGATAAGTCAAACTGTTTTGTTTTAAAAAATACAAAATAAAGGTTTTTTGATTTTTTCATTTTGAAAGGATGCTTTGTTTTGAAATTTAGATTTAGTTTTCTTAAACAATGAAATCTTCTGATATTTTCTCATTGGCAAAACTAAAATAGAATTGTGTTCCAGGTCAACCCAGAAGTTTTGTTCCAGGTCAAGTTTCAAGCCAGAAAACTAAAAATCTATTCTATGCACAGCTCTGTGGATAGCTTCTTAATATTTAACCAGAGGATAAATAATGCTAATTTGCACCTTTTCCTTAGGAAGGAAGTAGCCAGAGCCAGATCAAATCTCTTAACGATGACCTGGAAAAATGTCAGAATGAGATTTCTGGGCTCAAGAAAGATAATTCACTTCTAAAAGACACCATGGAGTTGCTGAGTGCACAGGTGGACCTACAGAAGCAGGAGTCTGCCCAGCTTCAGGACAGGGAGAAGCAACACAGAAGGTCTGCCTTAAATTATTGCTTTTCTGAGATGCTTCCTAGAGGACTAATGCTAACGTTACTAGCACTCCAAGCACTGTGGGACTTTGTCCCTCCTAAAGAGACTTATGCTGTACATTGTGAGCTTTTCAAAAGCACCATTTCCTTTCTGGCAACTCCTTATGCTTTGGCTAGAATTCCCCTCCCTCCCCAACCATATTAGAAATATTGGAATCACTGTTCAGTCACATCTGTGTCCCACAGAAGTGTATTCTCCAGGGCCATTCAGAAGTGACCCAAAGAAAGGCACTGAATCTGTTGTTCTTTTGAAGGAAAACTGTTAAGACCAACAACCCCGAAACTTACCCTTTCTCTGAGCAAGATATGAATTGTAAATGTCTCTGAGAACACCCCACACCCCCCACACACTCCCCCCATAGTGTGCAGTCCCCACTGCCAGCAGCAGCAGCAAGCAAGGAGGTCAGGGCGCTTGTGCCTGGCGCAGGTGCAGCTCTGGCCAGTGCTGTGCACGGGGAAGGAGTGGAGCATGCCTCATCTCCGCAGCTCAGCTCCCTGAGCCTGAGCCTGAAGCGGGAGAAGCCCTGCACTGGAGCAAGCTGTGTCCCCCGCTCCCCGCTGTGCAGGTCCCGTACTCTGCCGGGAGTGGAAGGAGCCCTGCCCCCTGCTTCCCCGCAGAGTCCAGCGTGGGGCTTCCCCTCTGTGAGTGCAGAGCTGCAGGCACAGCATGGAGCCGTGATAAGAGACAGCAAGTGTTGTGGTGGGGCAAGGAGCACAGCCCTGCGCAGCCTGCCCAGTCATATCTATCCCCATGGTTCTGTGCCGTGCCTGCAGCTCTGCACTCACAGAGAGGAAGCCCTGTGCTGGACTCCGCAGGGAAGCAGGGAGCAGGGCTCCCTTCACTCCCAGCAGAGTAGGGAACCTGCACAGTGCACAGTGGAGAGTGGGAGAAGTAGCTCCAGTGCGGGGTTTCCCCCGCTGCAGGCTCAGGCTCAGGGAGCAGAGCCACAGGGATGAGGCAAGCTCCACTCCTTCCCCATGCACAGTGCTGGCTGGAGCCGCACCTGCACTGGGCACGGGCACTCTGACCTTTCTGCTTGCTGCTGCTGCTGGCAGCAAGGACTGCACACCATGAGGGGAGTGTGTGGGGGTCCCTACACCCTCACACCCACACCCTACCCAGCTGAGCTCCATGTGCCCGCTGCCCTCTGTGAGGAGGAAGAGGAAGGGGGAGAGTTCTCCCCAGCATGGAACAAAGCCTGCCCTGCCCCTTTTCTGGGGCTGGGCAGCATTGCATGGAGCACACCCCTCTCCCAGCCCCACAGTGGGGAGGAGGAAGGGTCCCCACCCAGCACCTCACAGAGTCCCCCTCCCCACTCTGGGAAGAGGAGGAGAGGGAAGAGTCCCCCCATCACAAATCAGAGCCCACCTCCCACCCTGCAGGACAACCAACCCAGCATGGCCCCATTAAGGTGAAGGGGGCAGGGAGAAGGGTTAATTTCTCCTTCCATCCCTTTCCTGCAGTTGGGGTTTGCCAACTCCAGGGCCCACTACTGCAGCCTCCTGGCCTCTGCTCCCTGGCAGACAGGCTGACCCTGGGCTGCGGTGGGGGAAGAGGGGAAGGAGGGAAGAATTAACCCCCTTCCAGCCCACTTTGCCTTAACGGGGTCATGCCAGACAGAGTCTCCACTAGGGCTGGTCCCTGCTCTGGCTAGAGAGCAGAGGCGCAGGGTCAGCCCTACAGCTGGAGGAGAAAGTCCCGCCCAGCCCAGAGAGCATGCTGGGATGCTGGGGGAGTCTGGTTTATCGTAAACCAGCAGGGGGTCTGAGACAGACATTGCATAAACCGGTTTGAGCCAAATCAGTTAAGTCTGATACTACATTCAACCAGGTGTATCTCAAATCAGTTTGGGCCATTTTGAAACTGGATTATGTGCACTGAATGTCTGTTCTGTTACAGGTTTAAACCAGTTTCTGATCACTTCAACTGGTTTATGTGTAATGTTTGTCCCTAGTCTCAGTCTCTCCACACAGAGTGATGCTTAGAGAGTTCTCATTATCCCAAAAATCTCAAAGCATTCAGCAAGCTTGACAACTGTTGGCCAAAATTAAGGGGGGAACCAAATTATGAGCCAAAATTACCTTTATCAGGTAATATGATGTAGAGAGTAGTCAAAAGAGCAAGAGTGAATGAGTCAAGTAGTCACTGATCCTGAAACCAGTGATTTCATGTCATTTCCTTGCCAGGTCCCAGAATGTGTGTGGGTAAGGGGAAGAGTATTATAAAACTAAGTTTTATGGCCTTTGCTTTGTGAGCATGTGTCAACTTTGATAGAATTCATTTGAAGTTACTGACTTAGCCTTATATTTTACTCAGTGGTTGTTTCTCATTTGGAAGCTTAGAGTAATGATGACTCTTGTGGCTTTCAGTCACGTTTGGCTTCAGAAAACAATAATACAGTGTTATGCATCACTGTAAAATATGACCTTACAATTAGCTGTGTCTTCCAGATGGCAACACTTGGAAGTATAGTGTGGAAGTTAGTCACACCCAAAAGGCTCCTTTATATCCTTTGTGACATTTACAATATTAATCTAGATGTTAAGCCAAGTGTAAGGCCATGGCCAGTTTAAATGCAGTATTAAAGAATTTCATTTTAAAATTCCAGGCATCTTAAAATACAGGGTGTCAAGATTTACTGTTTCTTGTGGTTCTTGGGGTTTCTTCTGCAGCCACAGTGCTGGGAACAGCATATAGCTTGAGACCTCTCTTTGAAAAAAAACACAATAGGGCTGATGCTTAGAATCCTCCAGTCCAAAGAGTGAAGGACCATTTCCCTTCTCCCGGAATAGCTAGCTGCACCCATTCACTGGAAACCCCATTCAGCTAGATCCAATTTTCAGTTCCAGCCTATGCTTCATAGGAGCCCAAGCAGTGGGTTCTGGCCAAGGGCTGCACTGATTTAACTACCTCCCCAGTCACTTTGAATAGTAGTACCTTAGTAGTATTTACCTATCACTAACTCAGTAATGAAAGTTAAAGCACTTGAGAATTAAGTAATGTTTTAATACCATTTGAAAGGCTGCTGGAAGATGACCTCAAAGGCAAGCATAAAAAAGAACTGGAAGTCTTGAAACAAGATCATCGCAAGGAAATCCAGAACATGGTGTCTGATTTCAGCAGTGCTCAGGCCCATCTCCAAGCAAAGATTGTCTCGCTAGAAACAGAGTAAGTCATTTAAATAATCTGCTGGAAGGATAGTACACCTATTTTGGTGATAAATATTTCTTTAAATTATTATTTTGTTACAGGATATTTTAATTGCTAGAATAATAGTGTGTTGCATAACTGTTCTCCATGTAACTAAAAAGATGCATAGAAAAACTCTCATAACACATACATATTAATCAGTGTAAAGCTGATATTATGTTATGTGTAAAAAGATAATATCTGTATGGTAAATTTCATTGTGCACTATTGTATTAATGTACCTCTTTAGTTTTACTAACTATAAAATAATCTTCCTCATCAGATAATCCCAGAAATCTTAATCCTGCATTTGTACATGTGTTTAACTTTACTGGTACAAGTAGTCCCCTTGTAGATAAACATATTTGTATGTGCTTTCAGGGTAGAGACCATAGTGTGAAAAGACATGGTCAAGTGGTTAGGTTCAGGGGCCTAAGTCATTGCAGTTCTGGATCACTGTAAGATACTAGGATGAGTCTTTGACATAGTGCCTTAGTTCTACCACTTTACAATGAGAAGTAATATACCTTTGTAAAACACAATAAGATCTTTAGATAAAAGGTTATTAATTACTAATGATCTGAGTTATAAAGGTTAAAAAGGCACTGATCTGAAGCAATAGGTGTCCTTGACATAAGTACAAGAACAACCCGAATAACTGTTATATAAGTCCACAAGAGCCAACAACACTTCACCCCTAGAACCCAAAGAATTTCTCATCCCCGATCAACTTCAACCTTCATCAAATTCTACCCTTTATAAAAGCCCAAGTAAACAGATGCGTCTCGTAGCATGTCCTGGAAAGCAACAGCTCTGGGCTACTTCAGTCCAATGTGGGAAGTAGGTTTCAAAGCTGAGAGTCCTACAGAGAACCCTGTGTCTCAAGCCCTTCCCCTCTCTAGTCAACTGCTTTCACGTATCACATCCATGGTGGCTTGACCCCAAGAAAGAGGGACAACTGCAGGTGGGAAGGTCACAAGTCATTTGCCCATTTCTTATATTTTGAATAAGAATGCTGAATGCTGAAGCTGGAGAGGTCTTCTCTCTCCTAAAAATGTTCAGGTAAAGCAAAAGAATAAATAACCTACAGTCTACAGGATGCTTCTCTGGATTACAACTCAATCTCATAAAATTTTAGCTCATGGCCTCATTCATGCATGGAGATCTTTTGGCACAAACTCTGGTTCATGCAGATTCTTGTTTACAATAGTTGGTATGATGGGCTGGACCCACCCAGTAGACAGAGGATATTGTGTGTATAAATAACATGGGCACTAGCTTCATCATATCACCCTTTTTAAACAGCAGTTTTGACAAGAGAGGCCTGAATTATTTTTGTGTATGTTAAGCAAGGAATCCATGGTGGGACAGAGCGAGAGAAACCTAAGCTAAAATCTTATGCCTTGAAAGAGTTTTCTTGACCTAGATTTAAGTGTTTGCATTTTTTACTTGGCACAGACTTAAAGAATTAGAGGAAAAGCCAAGAAAACGGGAGTCCAGGCAAGAAGATATGCAACTTATAAGTTGCTTGCAAGATAAATTAAGTGAGAGAGAGGAGATTATCAAACACCTGATGGTGAGTTTTCCTTGGCACATATATATCATAACGTGTGTGCTGATATTCAGAACTTGATTGAACCAGCCCTTAATTAATCCAGCATAATATTGGTGGCACATTTGTTCATATAGTATTTTGTCTAGACTCCAGCCCATGTTTACAATACCTTTTCAGAAGAATGAGGCCACTTATTTGATGCTCCTAGACTAGGGCATTCATGAATTGAAACATGAGGGAGAAGATGTTATTTCTTTACTGTATATGTTATCCTGCTAGCATGAACATGCTTAAAAATATTGAAAGAACGCTTTCCATCTTTCAGTAGAACCTCTTCATATGCCAAGACCCAGCATTTACTCTGTACTCATGCTTAACCATTTTGATTTATATAGCAAGGCTCTATACACATTTCACACACCCTTTCAGGCAGTTGTTTTCTCACTACTCTGAATATTATATGATGGACATGTATAATTTATTCCCTTCAGGAAGGAAGAAAATTTCATCATTCACTTTTACCCGCCACCGAAGTTTACCGGAATAGATCCTTTTCTTTCAATCCTAGTCCTGGATGTTTAACTCCTTCCATGAAGGTAAGACAAGTAGTTCAATTAAAACTGGAAATCATGTTTTACTGTCACTAGGATATTGAGAGATGATCGATAAGGTGAACATACAATGTGTAAATGAATAGAGATTAGGCTTAATTTTTATTTTTCAGCAGTTCAACCAGTTTATCCTAGGATTAAAAGTAATGGTACTGCTGGTTTTCAGTAAAGGTGTAATATTTCATCCTGCAGGGGTTTGGGTTGTAGCCGTGTCGGTCTAAGGACATAGGCAGACAAGGTTCCTTGGGTGAATTTGATATCTTTTATTAGACCAACCCAAATAGTTGGAGAAAAGATATTAAGCAAGCTTTCGGGTTCAAAAACCCTTCGTCAGGCTCAGGAAGCTGCAGCAGTTGGCGTGTGCTCTTCCTGGATGGAATGAAAAGTAAAGAAGCCAGGGGCTGGGCTGGGCGGGGGAGTCAGTTGCCAGGCAGATTGTAATGTATCAAAAATCCAGTGTCTATGTTTAGTCCATGATCTCTAGTATCCAGGAGGTTGATGAAATGGAGCTCATAGGCTCGTCTCTGGGAAGTGCTGTGTAAGTTTCCCTTGAGGATCAGGACTGAGAGATTGGAGAGAGAGTGGCCCTCCTGTGAGAAATGTGCCCCCACCGGTAATTGGGTATTTCTGTCTTTGATAGATTTACGGTGTGCATTCATTCTGGTGCGTAGTTGTTGTCTGGTCTCTCCTACGTATTTTCCATCAGGGCATTTGGTGCATTGGATGAGGTATATTACATTTCTGGAGGTGCAGCTGTAAGATCCTGGGATGCTGATGGCTCTGTTGTGGGGTGTAGTAATAGTGGGGGTGGTGGAAATGTGTGGGCAGGTTTTGCATTTCTTGTCCTGGCACGGTCTGGATCCTTTTGGTGTGTTCTGGACTTGAGGAAGTTTGCTTCTGGTGATGAGGTTGGCGAGGTTCGGTGCTTGTTTGAAGGCTAGGATGGGTGGCTCTGGAAAGATCTTTTTAAGAATAGGGTCTCTTTCTAATATGGGTTGCAATTTTTTGAGGATTTTCCGTACAGGTTCAAGGGATGGGTGATAGGTCATAACCAGCGGTGTGCGATTTGTGGGGG